CCATTTTAATGTTATTTATTCCCAGGCTTAGAGACATTGTTTAAATCAAACTATCTCGAAAATATGATACATCTCTCTTTATAATTGTTATGCAGGAAAATTGCCTAAGAATTATGACCCAAAAGTTACCCCAGATCCAGAAAGATGGCTGCCAATGCGAGAACGTTCTTACTACCGGGGAAGAAAGAAGGGTAAAAAGAAGGATCAGATTGGAAAAGGGACCCAGGGAGCAACTGCAGGAGCTTCATCTGAACTGTAAGTTATTGCTCCACAATTGAGGGCACTTAGAACATACATTGTTTCTGAGATTGACTCAAGGCTACTAGTGAGAATTTAATATATATTAAGTATGAGAAATGTAGTGATGTATCTTTGATAAATGTTTATACTACACTTATGTAAATGAAAGAAAATATATTGCCTTTTTAGACTAGTTTTTCCTTTAGTTTTTACAATACAGTCAAATAGTTTTAAGTATTTACAATATAATCAAATATATATTGTGAAATATATATAGTAAAAACTATTTGTATTATAAAAACTAAAGAAAAGTCTCAAAAGGCAACTAAATACACTGAGTCATTCAACTAAATAAATGCCTAGATAAACAGATGTAAATAAATAATATGACTAGAAAGAAGTGTTAGAAATGTTAATACGTTCTGTATGGTAGATGAGAGGTTATTTTAAAAATATTTTTTCTGACCGGGTGCGGTGGCTCACGCTTGTAATCCCAGCACTTTGGGAGGCCAAGGCAGGCAGATCACCTGAGGTTACGAGTTCAAGACCAGCCTGGCCAACATGGTGAAACCCTGTCTCTATGAAAAATACAAAAATTAGCCTGGTGTGGTAGTGCGCACCTGTAATTCCAGCTACTCGGGAGGCTGAGGCAGGAGAATCACATGAACCCAGAAGGATCACGTGAACCCAGGAGGCAGAGGTTGCAGTGAGCTGAGATGGCGCCACTCCTCTCCAGCCTGGGCACCACTGCACTCCAGCCTGAGGGACAGAGCAAGACTCTTGTCTCAAAAAAATAAAATTTTTTATTTTCTACGCTTTCTAAAAATTGGCATGCGTATCATGTTTTACTTTTCTTCAATAAAAACAGTAAAAATGTTATTCAAAAGAAAAGTCAATAGGGAGTTGGGGAGCTTACCTTAAAAGAAGTAGAAAATATGTTAAGTGTGATAAGTAAAATGGGTTAAGTGTGATAAGTAAAACCCATATACATACATTTTTATACTCTCCCTTTGTTGAATATATGAGTGACCAAAAATGATCTGATCTAATGATTTCAGGGATGCCAGTAAAACTGTGAGCAGCCCACCCACCTCCCCAAGACCTGGCAGTGCTGCAACAGTATCTGCCTCTACAAGTAACATCATACCCCCAAGACACCAGAAACCTGCAGGGGCTCCAGCAACAAAAAAGAAACAGCAACAGAAAAAGAAGAAAGGTGGAAAAGGTGGCTGGTGATGAGAATATTCTTGTTGCAGGCTGTTTTTAAACTAGTCTCAGTGACACTAGGAATATAATAAAGGTAACACAGCAAGAAGCACAGAACTGCTCCCTCTTCATCTCCATATTTTCATAATTTCTTGTGTTTCAAATAGGGAAACATCTTCCTCAAAGTCTGCCTAGTGAGATATGGCCTACTGGTTGCCTCATAGCTTTGTACAGATTATGAGGACTGAAAATAATTGGGCATTTACCCATCTTGGTATCTGTTTTATCCTTTATCTGTGTGTGCTGATTCAATCTTTTTTCGGTTTCACATACCTTATCTAAGGTTTCCCAGGATTTAAACAGAAACTATTTCTACGATTTCAGCTGGAGTCTGAAGATACTTGTTTCTGTTCAAGTCCCGCTTTAAATTATGTCTTAGGAGGCCTTAGGAGACTGAAAGTGGAATCTTCTGAGCATTCCTAAATATCTGCTTAGAAATATCATGTGATAAAGAGGGACCTTCTTAATACTTAACTGATGTTCTTCACTTAATTAAATGGATAGCCACAAGAAAAATAAAGTAAATGTCTTAAATAATTTAACCATAAATTTTCTGTCATGTGATACTGGAATATGGGATTATTTTCATATTTTTATATATATATGACTCCTTTGTGCCCCATGTCATTTTCAGATTATGTAACATGCTGATACAGCACCAGGAAAGAACTCAAGGAAAATATATCAATGTAAGAAGTTGACTCTTAGACCTAGTGTTCTGAGGTCAGATGGGTTTGGATTGTCTCAATCAGAAAGATTAATGACTATTATCAAGAACATGAACATTGGTTTCCTACATAGAGAGGAAATCAGTATCTGAGTTTGCATACCAGGCAGTATTAAAATCTGACAGATCTGTTTGGCCCATTGATAGATACTCAAATGGTGTCTCCTTCTGGTTATGGATTTTGACCATTGATTACCTTTCTCAATGTAATGAAATATTTTACAGTCAATTTGTGGTGTAAATGTTGCTCTTGTCTTTCCTTGCTTACAAACTACTTTCACATTGAACAGCTGTGAGACAGACACATTGAGATGCCTGCCCTTGTTAGTATTCATTTTATGCTGCCCAACATATCATTTAATTTAGGCTTAGAAGTATTTCCTTGTGATTATATTACTCTGTCCTTGTTAATAAAGTGCTGCTGTGTTTGACTCTGAACGTAACTACCAAAACTTCTTCAAAGAGTTTTTTTATAAAAGACTTTCCTCCTTTACAAGAAAGAAATGGGGTGCTGCCTTTCTGTTCAGTAAAAGCAGAATCTGCAGTGGCATCTAAACAAGAGATCCTTTTTAAATACAAATGATGTATTGTGGCATAATACTTTTTTGAGCTCTACAGAGAACAGTCTTTTGGTAATAGTGACAGATATTTATTACTTCTGAATATATACCCCATTATAGGAATAACTGTTACTTATTTAGGATTCCATCATTGAAAATTTTAACCCAAGGCACAGCAGTGAAATTTACAGTTCTCAATTTAGTTGTCATTATTGATAGCATTAGTCATTGCTGAGCAACTGAAACTTCTGTTCAAATAAAGTTTTAATTGTCAAATGAAGTATAATACATGAACCTTCTAGAAATATTTCTTCTTTTGGATAGGTCTTTAACCAGTACATATATATACTTTGTCAAATATATGGATGTGTATGTGTACATTTATAAAAACCAGTATGCATACATCCATTCACTGTGGTACATTTTAAAATAAAATATTTTAGCAGTGAATATGGATTAAGGTGTTTTGGGTGTTGGCATTTTATGGAGGACTTCCTGGTTAGTATAACCAAGAATTTTCTTTTAAGCTGAGTATCAAAATTGTGTGTACTGTCCCTCTTAGTAAACTCACAAAACTAATCTAATGGGATTGAGAGATTCGGTAAGTTTCAGTGTAAACTTTACTGAAAATTCATCTTGGTGTGTGTATAAACAGAAGTAAACCTTTGAAAAAGTGATTAAGCATAGCAATTCCAATGCTATTGGGAACAGCCAACCTTAAAAATCATTGCATCACTCAAACCTTCTGGAACCTGCCATTCATTGTTCCTTACAAGTCTATTTGAAACAGATACAATGAAGGAAAATAAGTTTATTGCATTAAAAAATAATTGTGGCCGGGCACGGTGGCTCGCACCTGTAATCCCAGCACTTTGGGAGTCCGAGACGGGCAGATCACCTGAGGTCGGAAGTTCGAGACCAACCTGACCAACATGAAGAAACCCCGTCTCTACTAAAAATACAAAATTAGCCGGGCATGGTGGCTCATGCCTGTAATCCCAGCTACTCGGGAGCCTGAGGCAGGAGACTCGCTTGAACCTGGGAGGCAGAGGTTGCAGTGAGCCGAGATCGTGCCATTGCACTCCAGCCTGGGCAACAAGAGTGAAACTCTGTCTCAAAAAATAATAATAATTGTGCTGGACAGGTGCGGTGACTCACGCCTGTAATCCCAGCACTTTGGGAGGCCGAGGTGGGCAGATTACCCTAAGTCAGGAGTTCGAGACCAGCCTGGCCAACATGGTGAAACCCCATCTCTACTAAATACAAAAATTAGCTGGGCGTGATGGCGCACGCCTGTAATCCTACCTCCTCGGGAGGCTGAGGCAGGAGAATTGCTTGAACCTGGGAGGTGGAAGTTGCAGTGAGCCGAGATCGTGCCACTGCACTCCAGCCTGGCGGACAGAGTGAGACTGTCTCAAAAAATAAATAAATAATTGTGCTAAACTGAAATATACTGAAGAGTTCAGTTTAGCAAGATAAAAGGAACCCTCCAGATATTTCTTAGTCAGTTTGAGAAACAATACCACCTTTGAAAACCACCTCGTGTGCCTTATTTACCATTTATTAGATAATTAGGAGTGACTAGACCATTAGGTTTTGGTTTTAATACTGAGCATTACTAGCAGCTGTGATTCTGGCAGGCTATCTCTGAATAATTTTTTAAAAAGCGAAATACAAGCTGGGCACGCTGACTCATGCTTGTAATCCCAGCACTTTGGGAGGCCGAGGCGGGTGGATCACTTGAGGTCAGGAGTTCGAAACCAGTCTGGCCAACGTGGTGAAACCCCGTCTCTACTAAAAATACAAAAATTAGCCGGGCGTGGTGGCTCACGCCTGTAATCCCAGCTATTTGGGAGGCTGAGGCAGGAGAATCGCTTAAATCCGGGAGGCGGGAGGTTGCAGCGAGCTGAGATCGCACTACTACGCTCCAGCCTTAGTGACAGAGACTGTCTCAAAAAAAAAAAAAAAAAAAAGGAACTTAAAACAATGGAACCCATTCACGTTCTTCTATCTGTCTTTAATAATCCTGGGTAGTAGTCTGGAGACACTCCTAGTGGAGTTTACTCGGGAGAGGGCGGAGAAATACACGACATGAGCAGTACAGGCTCGTGGTTGACAGCTGGCGGAAGGCTGAGAATCCTCCCCGGAACCTTTGGACTCTGGCGCCCCAGGGGTTCTTCGCGTAGGCTGGCCGGGCTTGGGATTGAAGCCGGAGACGTCAGACGCTAAGGTTGCTTAGGTTGCGGCCCGCGTGGAAGGCTCTCCTCAGCCACCCTGTCCGGCCCGAGGGAATCGCGCAAGTGACGCTTTTTCTGCAGCAATGATATATACCCCGCCGAGCTGTCCGCGTCCTGGTTGGGACCTCTTGGTTTCGCTTGGCTGGGCTCAACCCATCCCGTACGCCTCCGCCCTTCCCTCTTTGCGTGCCCCTGCGGATTCAGCGAATCCGCTGCAAGAAGCCCTGCATCCGCCAGGTGAGCGGCTGTTGGCGGCGCTGCCGGGGTTGGCGGCTCCCGCGGGTTGTCTACGCCGCGGGGCCTACGTCTCCGTCAGGCGTGCACCTTGGGAGCCACACCTGGGGCCCGGAGCCACCGCTCAGCACGCGGGCACGCGGCGGGAGGGAAGGAAACCGCGGCGCTGGGGATGGAGAGGGGGAAAGTGAAGAAGAAAGAGAAGGAAAAGGAGACGGAGAAGGAGAAAATCAGAGAAAAGGGAAAGGAAGAGAAAGTGAAAAGAAAGGAGGTGGAGCAGAAAATTAAAGAAAAAGAAAAGGAGAAGCAAGAGAAGCAGGAGAGGAGAAAGAGAAAAGAGAAAGAGGAAAAAAGGACAAAGCAAGGGAAGGAGACAAAGAAAGAGAAGGAACAATTTAAGGGACAAGAAGAGGAAGGGGAGAACAAGGACAGCACCTTGACAAGGACCCCGCTCGAGCCGCTGGTAAGAGATCCAGTGTCCAGGACCCCTTGCCCCAAGGCCATTGTCGGCTTTCAGACCCCGGCGCTGTCTCTGTTACGTTGGAGGCCCCCGACCCGCGCGGGAGGGAATGGATCTCAACTGAGGGCTATTTACCTATGGATGAAAGCGATGTGCCAAACTTTGAACGACCCATCGCCAGCCCCTTTTTCCCGGACCCCCTGCCCACCCTCGCCCGTATCGTTACCCCTGTGTCTTAACCTTCGTCGGGTCTAGGGTTGAGGGACAAGTGATCTCGGTCTTAATGGGGACATGGCGAACGGCCCCTCTACTGCCCTTGGATCTGTCCAGCGCGCAACACTAGCGCACAGACCACCTGACCACATTTAGAAACCAGTCCCGAACCCTCCCCGCACGCAGGCCCTCTTTGCAGTGAATGCGTTCTTTGTCAGAAGGGGCAGGGTTCCAGAATGCGGGAGGTGTTGGGGACGCTGCAGTTGATGCCTTCATTGTTTTCAGACCACCAGTACCCTGAATGCATGGCGGAAAAGTTTTAACTGACAGGTCTTAAAAACTTGGCATTGTTTGGGTCAGCTGGATGGTCTCTGTGCTCCTGGAGTTCCTGAACTGGCTCCTTGGCTTAGAGCTACGATCTGGTTCTAAACAATTTGAATGATTAACACAGTTGTTGTTTTTTTGTTTTGTTTTGTTTTGTTTTGTGTTTTCTTTTTTGTGACAGGGTCTCACTCTGCCGCTCAGGCTGGAGGGATCCTCCCACCTCAGCCTGGCACCGCCCCCATCTCCCAACCTCAGTGACTGGCACTACAGGGGCACGCCACCATGTCCAGCTAATTTTTGTATTTTTGTGTAGAGATGGAGTTTCGCCATGTAGCCCAGGCTGATCTCAAACTCCTGGGCTCCAGCAATCCGCCTGCCTCGGCCTCCCAAAGTGCTGGGATTACAGGCGTGAGCCACCACGGATTAACAGATATTTGATCTCTGGTAAAACACATACTACATAGACCCATATTTGGCTAAAGGAATAACTTCTGACAAAAAACCAATGGTGTTCAGCATCACATTTTGTGTCTGAACTCTGTTTTACAAATTCAGCTTTCCTTAGTCTCAAGAAGATAAATGGGAGGAAGCCTGAATGCAGAATTTCTAGGTAGGATGGGCGTAGGGACAACCATGTGGTTGGAAAGGGAACTGGTATTTTTGTTTTTGTTTTGAGACAGTCTGGCTCTGTCGCCCAGGCTTGAGTACTGTGGCATGATCTCGGCTCACTGCAACCTCCAACTCCCAGGCTCAAGGCATCCTCCCACCTCAGCCTACCAAGTAGCCGGGAATACAGGTGCACACCACCATGCCTAGCTAATTTTTGTATTTTTGGTAGAGATGGGGTTTCGCCATGTTGCCCAGGCTGGTCTTCAACTCCTGAACTCAAGCGATCCACCCACCTTGGCCTCCTGCCGAGACCAGCTCGGTTGGGGAGACCCTACCCAGTGTCCCTAGAGGAATTAAAGACACGCACACAGAAATAGAGGTGCGAAGTAGGAAATCAGGGGTCTCACAGCCTTCAGAGCTGAAATCTCCAAACAGAGATTTACCCACATATTTATTAACAGCAAACCAGTCATTAGCATTGTCTCTATAGATACTAAATTAACCAAAAGTATCTCTTAAGGGAAACAAAGGGATGGGCCGAATTAATTGCAGCTGGAACATGCACTTAAGACACAGATCACTCAGGCTTTTGTTTGTGGCTTAAGAATGCCTTTAAGCAGTTTTCCGCCCTGGGCGGAAACTGTTCCTTGCCCTCATTCCTGTAAACCCACAACCTTCCAGCTTGGGCATTATGGCCATTATGGACATTTTACATTGCTGCAGAGATTTTTTTTATGGCCAGTTTTGGGGCCAGTTTATGGCCAGATTTTGGGGAGCTTGATCCCAACAGCCTCCCAAAGTGCTGGGATTACAGGCAAGAGCCACTGTGCCTGGCCTGGGAACTGCTTTTTATTCACACTATTTTATAGGACCTAAGATGTCGTTAGTCTAGGTACCACTAAGAAAGAAAAAAAAAGCCGGCACGGTGGCTCACACCTGTAATCCCGGCACTTTGGGAGGCCAAGGCGGGCAGATCACCTGAGGTCAGGAGTTTCAGAACAGACTGGCCAACATGGCAAAACCCCATCTCTACTAAAAATACAAAAAAATTAGCTGGGCATGGTGGCATGTGCCTGTAATCACAGCTACTCAGGAGGCTGAGGCAGGAAAATCACATGAACCTGGGAGGCAGAGGTTGTAGTGAGCCAAGATCGTGCCACTGCACTCCACCCTAGGCCACAGAGCGAGATTCTGTCTTAAAAATAAATAAATAAATAATTCTGCCAATCAAAATATGATATACTCTCAATTGTCAAAGACATCCTAATTTCAGAGATGTTAAAATGTGGAATGTGGGGGGTGGAATGTGTATCTTAGAATGAATGAAGTATGTCGGGGTAGGCTGAATGGGGCCTCTGGTGAAGACTGACAGGACATAATCCACTCTTGGCTGCCATTTCTTGGTGCCGGTATTGCTTAAAAACATGCAATTGTAAGCCATCCAATGAAGTCTCCCTTGCCCTTCTTCCTTACCTTGACACACTCTCAGAATGACATCATAATATTTAGATGCAACTGAAGGGAATGGAGAAGAGCCAGGGATGGAAGACACCTATGAAAATACAATTTACTTTAAGAACCGTCAAAGATTTGCTCTAAGAACAAATAAGTACGTTTTTTTTTTTTGAGACGGAGTTTCACTCATGTTGCCCAGGCTGGAGTGCAATGGCACGATCTCGGCTCACTGCAACCGCCACCTCCCAGGTTCAAGTGATTCTCCTGCCTTAGCTTCCTCAATAGCTGGGATTACTAGTATGCGCCACCATGCCCGGCTAATTTTGTATTTTTACTAGAGATGGGATTTCACCATGTTGGTCAGGCTGATCTCAAACTCCTGACCTCAGGTGATCCACCCTCCTCGGCCTCCCAAAGTGCTGGGATTACAGGTGTGAGCCACTGCACCGGCCTACTTTTTTTCAAATTCTGTTATACACTGTATGGCCTTCATAGATCATGCTCTCTGTACAAGTCTTTATGTTAAAGTTTACACCCTGGAAACCACATTTCGGAGCACTCTGAACGATCTTCACACCAGCCTGCCCTTCTGTCCCTCAGTCATTTGCCATAAAAATTCTAAGGCTAATACATTGATAGAATGCTTCTTTCTTTTTTTTTCTTTTCTTTTTTTTGGGGGGGTCGGGGGGAATGGAGTCTCTGTCACCCAGGCTGGAGTGCAGTGGTGTCATCTCAGCTCCTGCAATCTCCACCTCCCAGATTCAAGCAATTCTCATGCCTCAGCCTCCTGAGTAGCTGGGATTACAGGCATGTGCCACCATGCCCGGCTGATTTTTGTATTTTTGGTAGAGACAGGGTTATGCCGTGATGGCCAGGCTGGTTCCAAAGTCCTGGCCTCAAGTGATCCACCTGCATTAGCTTCCTAAAATGTTGGATGAGAGCCACGACGCCCAGACTAGAATGCTTCTGTCTAAGTTTACTTCAAGTTCATCAGTTTGTTTTTTTGTTTGTTTGTTTGAGATGTTGTCTTGCTGTGTTGCCCAGGCTGGAGTGCAATGGCGCCATCTCGGCTCACCGCAACCTCCGCCTCTGAGGTTCAGGTGATTCTCCTGCCTCAGCCTCCCGAGCAGCTGGGATTACAGGTGCCCACCACTGCACCTGGCTAATTTTTTTTTTTTTTTAGACGGAGTCTCGCTCTCTTGCCCAGACTGGAGTGCAGTGGTGCAATCTCAGCTCACTGCAAGCTCCGCCTCCCAGGTTCACGCCATTCTCCTTCCTCAGCCTCTGGAGTAGCTGGGACTACAGGCACCTGCCACCATGCCCGGCTAATTTTTTGTATTTTAAGTAGAGACAGGGTTCCACCGTATTGGCCGGGCTCGTTTCGAACTTGCGACCTCAGGTGATCTGCCTGCCTTGGCCTCCCAAGTTCGTCTGTTTTTAAAACAAATATTAATTTGTGATTGAAACTGGCTTAATAATTTCTATAACCTTTTCATTTAATTGTGATACTTATATTAAAAAGTATAAGAGGGAGGTCTGGTGTGGTGGCTCATGCCTGTAATCCCAGCACTTTGGGAGGCCAAGGTGGGCAGATCACGAGGTCAGGAGTTCGAGACCAGCCTGACCAACATGGTGAAACCCCGTTTGTAGTAAAAATACAAATTGTGGGACGTGGTGGCGTGCTCCTGTAATCTTAGCTACTCGGGAGGCTGAGGCAGGAGAATCGCTTGAACCCAGGAGGCGGAGATTGCAGTGAGCCCAGATCATGCCACTGCACTCCACCCTGGGTGACAGAGCAAGACTCCATCTCAAAAAAAAAAAATGTATAAGAGGGAAACCTTGCTCTGAGATCTTACAATCTAGTTATTCAATTGTGAAGACAGGCGAAATTAATAATTGAGACCTTAGATGCTTATGCACTGAGTGGCACAGTCAATACATGCACCACGGAGGTCCCAAGACCCCAAACAAAATGAACTCAGGTGCAGTCTCCAATTCATAGACACGAATTCAAGAAGCAAAATGAAGTCTGAAAATTGGTCCTGTAATCTATAGCACTACTCATAAATGCTGGTAGTATTTATTTGATAGACTGATCAGGAGTTAGGGGATGGAGGAGGGATGTAAAATTAGTATCACATAATGAACAGCTAATTAGAAAATGTTCACTGGTTGGTATAGTTTGTTCTAGACCTATAAAATATTCGTGAAGTTTTATCCTTTTTTTTTTTTTTGGAGACAGGGTCTTGCTCTGTTCCTCAGGCTGGAGTTCAGTGTGCAGTCTCAGCTCACTGCAACCTCTGCCTCCTGGGTTCAAGTGATTCTTATGCCTCAGCCTACCAAGTAGCTGGACTTACAGGTGCACGCCACCACACCTGGCTAATTTTTTGTGTTTTTAGTAGAGATGGGGTTTCACTATGTTGGCCAGGCTGGTCTGGAACTTCTGACCTCAAGAGATCCTCCTGCCTCAGCCTCCCAAAGTGCTGGGATTACAGGTGTGAGCCACCTGGCCCGTGAAGTTTTATTCTGGTTACAATTCCAAGAATATTATTGGATTCTACCACAGGCAGGCCCACTGCCAAGACCCAGAAAAATGAGCCCCTGATAGCATGGGCTTATTGATTTATCTTTTGTTTCACAGGAGAAAAACAAGCAAATCCTAGTGCTGGGCCTGGATGGAGCAGGAAAAACCAGTGTCCTCCACTCTCTAGCTTCAAACAGAGTCCAGCATAGTGTGGCACCCACCCAAGGTTTCAATGCAGTTTGCATCAACACTGAAGATGGCCAAATGGAGTTCCTGGAGAGTAAGCTCTCTGTTCCTTAGTTACAAGATAGCCACATTTTATTCTCTCTTAAGCCAGACATGATGTTAGCAACATTGAGTCTTTATGAAAACTAACACTGAATCAAATTTTCCTAGACTTTTAGAATGGATGTGTACTTTAATACCCAGGTACACTGTGGGGGGAATCACTTTTTGCTTTTTTGATGTTCTCCTTTTTACAGTAGTGGTGATAAAGGGGGAGTTTAGAGGAAGGCTTTAGCACTCCCTCCTATAATCTCCTGTAATCAGCCTTCTTCCCACACTGCTGCAAATGAGCATGCAATCTAAGTTTAAGTACAGTGTGCTTGCTTCTCTGCAAATAAAATTATAGACAAGCTCCAAACCTCTTCTTCTAAATAGATGGCAGTCCACAGGCCCCTACTGGATAGTAATTCTGGAGTCACCACCTGTAAATATTACTCTCTCCTGAAGTTGGGTCAAGTCCTCTTGTCTTCTCTTTACACATTCATCCATCCTCATGGCATTAAATACCATCTATATGCTAATGGCTCCCAAATTTATCTATCCAGCCCAAACATATCCAAGTCCTCAAACCTAACAAGGGAAAAACAAAATGCTTGATTTTTCCCATATCTGTTCCTTTCCCTGTAATCTTCTGGTCAGTAAATGGCTCCATACCCATCAGGTTGCTCTAGCCAGAAACCTGAGAGTCACCCTTGACTCCTCCTTTTGCATCCCCACCTCCAGTCCACAAGTAAAACACTATGAATTTTGCCAGCTCCAACGCATCTCTCAAATGCATTGGTTACATCCTTTCTACTGCCTCTATGCAAGTCGGAACCTCAATCATCTATTACTTAGATTGTTATAGTCACCTTTTTACTTTGGCTTTTATCTGTTTATGAAGAGCAGTATTTTAACACATACTTATCATTTGCTAACTTAAAACTCTTCAGTGGAGATCTCATCCTTGTAATAAAATCGAAAGTCTTTATTATGGCCCATGAGGCTCTTCATAAACTGCCTCCTCCCTAACCTTACCTCACCCCAGGCTTATTGTACTCCTTTCTTTCTCTCCTTTTACAAGAGCTTTCTTGGGTGTGCCTTCTGTCAGACATACTACTACCCCTGCTCTTCCCATGATGGCTTGCTCCTCAACCTTCAGGGATTAGCTTACATGGCCCCATAAAATCAATCATTCTTTTTTTTTTTTTTTGAGACAGAGTCCTGCTCTGTCACCCAGGCTGGAGTGCAGTGGTGCAATCTGAGCTCACTGCAACCTGTGCCTCCCGGGTTCAAGTGATTCTGTCGCCTCAGTCTCGTGAGTAGCTGGGATTACAGGCACACACCATCATACCCGGCTAATTATTTTGTATTTTTAGTAGAGACGGGGTTTCACCATGTTGGCCAGGCTGGTCTCGAATTCCTGACCTCAGGTTATCCACCCACCTTGGCCTCCCAAAGTGCTCGGATAACAGGCGTGAACCACTGCACCCAGCCCCCATAAAATCATTCTTTCTAAGTATGTTCCCCAATGCTGTTTGCTTCCTCCATAAGGTTTTTAATAACATTCACTATTTATTTTTATTTGTTTTTGATCTGTCCACCCAACTAGATGGTAACTTTTGCTATACTTGTTTTGTTCAACAATATATACCCAATGTCTGGCAAATAGTACATATTCAACAAAAATGCATTAAGTGCTAACTGTGTTCCCAATTTTTATCATAATCATCAATATCCTGAAGAAGAATAGCAGTTTACACTTGCAACCTTTAAGTTTTAAAATGTGTATCTTCACAGTGGCTATATTAAGCCATCAATTTAGGTAAGTTTTCATAATGCCACAGGCATAGCTTCTAAGGAGGCTTTTTTTAGGCTGCAGCATCCAGTGGTATTCAGTGATATAAACCTGTATGGGCTGCTATGCTATCGTGTAACACTTGGAGTATGTTGGGGATTGGTGGGAGGTGAAGTTTTATTGTATAAGCCTATTTGTAGAAATGATATATTCACATATAATTTTGCCTATATCTCTTCATCAACATTCTACAGATCATCTTAATCTTTAAAAAAAAAATTCTTTTAGTTTATGCACTAAAAAGTAGTGGCAAAAATAAATGGAGAGATTTCAGTTCCTATTATAGTTTTTGAAGGGCCTTTCTGTGACAAAACCACAAATCCTGGTTAAAATTTATTTTTTAAAGCATTGATGAACTTGCAACAAGTAAGACAAATTTGCAAGGCTACCTGCTTTACTCTTCCTGCCCTTTCCCTCCTTCCAAAGACAGAAAAATAAAACAACTCATGAGTTGAAACTGGAGTGACAGCCACAGTAGATAAGCAAATGAAAAAGCGGTGTTATCTAGAGGCCCCTGGACATGAGGGCCCCTGGAAGAGTGCTAACATGCTCCCAGTCAGTAGCTCCCCCAGTTTCTAATTCTGGAGCAAAGACCCCCAGTATTCTCATAAATTAAGATTAATCAAATATGAGTTCAGGCTAGGCATAGTGGCTCACACCTGTAATCCCAGCACTTTGAGAGGTCAGGGCAGGTGGATTGCTTGAGTCCAGGAGTTTGAGAACAACCTGGGCAACATGGCAAAATCCTACCTCTACAAAAAATACAAAAAATGAGCTGAGCATGGTGGTGCATGCCTGTAGTCCCAGCTACTCTGGAGGCTGAGGCAGGAGGATCGTTTGTGCCCAGAAGGCAGAAGTTGCAGTGAGCCGTGATCATGCCTCTGTATTCCAGCCTGGGCAACAGAGTGAAACCATGTCTCAAAAAAGAAGATGACAAAATCTACTGATCAAAACTAGCATTTAAAGCATTTATAATCTTAAATGCTTATAGCTGAAAGGAAAATAGCTGAAAACGTATAAGTTAAATATGCAATGTAAATTAGGTAAAAGAACAACAGAATAAAACCAAAGAGGTTGAGGGAGAGATGATAAAGACACGAAGTGAATGAAATTGATGAAGACACAGTAGCAAAGATCAGCAAAGTCAAAAGTTAGTTCCTTGAATAGATAAACAAAATAGACAAATTTCTGGTGAAATTCATTAAGGAAAATCTGGAAACCACAAATAAGTAATGTCATGAAGGAAAAAGAGCATATCATTCATTACGATGACAAGAGTATAATACCTGTGTTAACAAATTTGTATCAATAGATATAAAGTCCTGGATAAGTGGCAAAAATCCTCCAAATATGTGTCTTAGGAAAATGGACTCAAGAAGAAATAGGAATATTGAATAATTTAAAGCTTCTAAAGAAATCAATAGCAAAAAATCATCCTATAATGAAAAACACCCGATCAGTTGGTTTATAGGTGGGCTCTTATCAATCTTAATCTTACATAAATTCTTTCAGAGAATAGGGGAAAAAAAGAAATGCTCTCCAACTCACAGTATGAGGTCACTGTATATCCAAACCAGCAAAGAGTATGAGAAATGGAAATGCAGAAATCTGAACAAAATTGTAGTAAACTAAATTCAGTTAATATATTAAAGAGATAATATATCACCAGATGAGTTTCTCCAAGAATGAAAGGTTGGTTTAACATTTGAAAAATAGCCAGGTGTGGTGACTTATGCCTGTAACTCCAGCACTTTGGGAGGCCAAGGGGGGCGGATCACTCACTTAAAGTCAGGAGTTCAAGACCAGCTTGGCCTAACATGGTGAAACCCTGTCTCTATTAAAAAGACAAAAATTAGCCGGGCATGGTGGCAGGTACCTGTAATCCCAGACACTCAGGAGTAGCTGAAGCAGGAGAATTGCTTCAACCCGGGAGGTGGAGGTTGCAGTGAGCCAAGATCGTGCCACTGCTTTCCATCCAGCCTGGATGACAAGAGCAAAACTACATCTCAAAAAAAAAAAAAAAAAAAAAAAAAAAAAAAAATCTCATTCAACATTATACAGGAGGTTCTAGTCAGTTTGAGAAAAAGAAATAAAAGGCATAAGAATTAGAAAGGAAGAAATAAAACAATACTTATTTACAAGTTATATGATTGTCTTCAAAGAAAGCCTAAAACACCCTTCAAATTATTAGAAATGATAAGAGCTTGGCAAGACAACTGTATATAACAATATAAAATTAATTGTATTTCTATTACCCAGCAGCATGCAGCCATTTTCAATAGCAACAAAAGATAGGAATAAACCAAACAAAAAAATGTGTCTATCTATACAGAGAAAATCTGTAGATATCATTGAATAACACTGAAAGACCTAAATAGAGACATAATACAGTTTTCATGAATAGGTAGACATTATATCAAAAAAATATTAATTCTCCCCAAATTGACATTTAGATACAATTCAATTCCAATCAATAGCTCAACAAGATTTTTTAAAAAGAGTTTGACAAGCTGAGGCTAAAATTGACATGGGTGAGCAAAGGAGTAAAGAAAGTCAAGACACTCGAAGAAATTAGTAAGAAAGATGGACTTGTCCTGTCAAGTATCAAATCTTATTATAAAGCTATGAAATTAAAATGTGTGGTGTTGGCACAAGAATGAACAGAATGACCAAAGGAACAGACTAGAGAGTCCACTGGGGAAACTATTAAATAAATGGTGCAGGGACAACATGGAATAAAAATGAAATTAGTTTCCTGCCTCCTATGCATACAAATGTATACATCAATTTCCGATGGATAAAAGCCAAATGTAAAAAGCTTTGTGGAGAAAATATAGACTATCCTTATGACTTCAGGATAGAGAAAGATTTTTTAAACAGGATACAAAAAATAATAACCATAAGAAAGATGGATAAATGTAACTACATTAAAATGGAAAACATCTGTTCATTAAAAAGATGCCACAAAACAGGAGAAGATACATGCAACACATCCAAGCAAATGCCTAGTATCCAGAATATATAAAGAACTCCTACAAATAAAAACAACATAAAAACATTGGCAAAAGACATGAATAACATTTCACATAAAACAAATTAGAAGTGAACATATGAAAAATACTCAACTTGATCAGTAAGTAGAATTCAAATTAGGCAAAAAAAAAAAAAAAAGAAATCTGATAATATCAAGTTTTGAAGAGGATGTGGCCGGGTGCAGTGGCTCACTCCTGTAATTCCAACACTTTGGGAAGCCAAGGTGGGTGGATCACTGGAGTTCAAGGGTTCAAGACCAGCCTGGGCAACATGGCGAAACCCCAGCTCTACAGAAAATACAAAATTAGCCCGGCTTAATGGCTCGTGCTTGTAGTCCCAGCTACTGGTGAGACTGAGAAAGGAGGATCGCTTGAGCCCAGAAGGTGGAGGTTGCAGTGAGTGGAGATTGCACCACTGCCCTCCAGCCTGGATGACAGAGCACAACCTTGTCTCAAGGAAAAATAAAATAAAAATAAAAAGAGGATGTGGATATAGAGGAAACTTATTGGCTATTAGCTGTTGGCAGAGTGTGTATTGGTAACAACTTCTTTGGAAAATAATTTGGCGTATTTGGCATTAGTTCCATGCTTAGATAACTGGAGAAACTCTTGCTTGTACGGACCTCAGGAAACAAATACAAAAATGTTTACAGCAGCATTGTTTATTGCAGCAAGAAATGAGGAACAACCCAAACGTCCACTGATGTTTTAACTAAGTGTGTTAAAACCATATGAGTTACTTAGAAGGTCACACAGCACTATTTTAACAAATTAAAAACACAAAATACTTCAAAGAATGAGTAGCCTACCTCTGTACAAAGGAAGCCAAAGGGAAGGCAAAGATCCTTTCTTGTTAGCATTTAAAATACTTTTGTTAAGTTCTTGAAACAGAGGTGCAAAAAGTTTTTCTGTCAAGGACTACATAGGAACTAATTTATGCTTTGCAGGCCACCTGCTCTCTATTGCAGTCACTCAACTCTGTCTTGAGAAAGCAGTCATAGACAATATGTTCTATATGTTCAATGTTACTATAAAACTTTATTTCTGGGCACCAAAATCTAAATTTGATATAATAGTCCTGTGTTAGAAAATGTTATTCTACCTTTTTTTTTTCCTCTACTATTTAGACATGTAAAAGCTATTTTTACCTAGTGAGCTGTACAAAAATAGGCAGTTGGTCAGATTTGAACTGTGGGCCATGGTTTGCCAATACTCCTCCTAGGACAAAAATGAAAACAAAATCCATTGTATATATGTTATTATCATTAACCAAAAAGTTTATTCTGGGAAGAATCAGCAGTATGAAGTAATCAAAAGGCATTTTTTTTTTTCTGAAGCAAATATTCCTGAATACCCACAGGATCATGTTAACTCTGTGCAATATTAAGAGGAGAAGTTATTTCTAGGATTTTGACAAAGGAAAAAAATTGTGCAAGTGAGACTAGCCAATGAATTCAGTTCATTTAAAATTTATTTTAATGTATATTTTATCCTACCATCCTTTTCCAGTCTTAATTATTTTAGTAGCATACTCCCATTTTCTTTTTCTTTTTCTTTCCTTTTTTTTTTTTTTTTTTTTTTAGATAGATGGGGTCTCGCTCTGGAGTGTGGTGGCGCAAATACAGCTCACTGTAGCCATGTTCACGCCACTGCACTTCCTGGGCTCCAGTGATCCTCCTGCTTCAACCTCCCTAGTCGTTAGCACCACAGGCATACACCACCACACCGGTCCATTTTTTAGTTTTTATTTTTGTAGAGACAGAGCCTCACCCTGTCGCCCAGGCTGGTCTTGAACTACTGGGCTCAATCAGTCCTCCTGCCTCAGGCTCCCAAAATGTTGAGATTACAGGCGTGAGCAACTGTACCTGGCCTTACTCCCATTTTCTGAGCTATAACTGATAAAGATGCAGTGGCTGACATGGCTGCTGTGGACAATGGGATCAGGAGACATCCCCTGTAGTATTTCGCATCTCTCTGCTGATCCTTTGTGATACAGTAATGAATGAACCACTTGTGATGGTTCTTCTCACCAACCAGTTCCCCACTAACATGCCTCTGGTCCCTCTGAGGACTGGGTACACTCTAACACGGTGATATTTTATCAAAACACCTGTCCTGTGTTCAGAAATCTGGATGTGCCCTCCCTGCTCCCAGGGTGGGTGCTTCTGTAATTTTGTGTGTGTGTGTCTTCTTCCTCTACTATTCTCTGTAGTTGGTGGCAGTGAACCTTTTCGGTCCTACTCGGAAACGTACCTATCCAAGGGATTGCTGCTTATCTTTGTGGTGGATTCAGCAGATCACGGCCGATTACCTGAAGCCAAGAAATACCTTCATCAGCTAATTGCGGCAAACCCAGTACTTCCTCTGGTTGTGTTTGCAAACAAACAGGTAAAAATCTGTGCAAATATAAATTGTACTCAGTAGTTTTGTATTTAATACAAAAAATGTATATGTGTAATAGCTAGTCAACAATAAGCTATATATTTAATTCAGTTTATGTTTATTAGAGCTCTTGGATTATAAACACCTTGAAGGTAGAGACTATTATTCATCTTTGTGTTCCTTGTAATACCTAGTATACTGTCTTGTGGATGCTAGGAATTCAACAGATGTGTGTTGAACTTACTTCAATAAATACATGTTAATTGTTAAATTTGATTCAACAAAATATGAGTGGCTACCATGTATAAAGAAATCGTTTTGCTTTAGATCAATCAGACTGAGCCGAACTTACTCTACACATGCATTAAAAATATTAAATATATGTGGAGAATTTGGAACCCTTGTATACTGTCGGTGAGAATGTAAAATTGCAGAGCTGCTATGGAAAACAGTAACATGGTTCCCCAAAAGAATCAAAAATAGAGGCAAGGCGCGGTGGCTCACACCCGTAATCCCAGCACTTTGGGAGGCCAAGGGTGGGGGATCACGAGGTCAGGAGATTTTGACCATCCTGGCTAACACGGTGAAACCCCGTCTCTACTAAAAATGCAAAAGATTAGCCGGGAGTGGTGGCGGGGGCGTCTGTAGTCCCAGCTACTCGGGAGACTAAGGCAGGAGAATGGCGTGAACCCGGGAGGCGGAGGTTGCAGTGAGCCGAGATAGCGCCACTACACTCCAGCCTGGGTGACAGAGTGAGACTCCGTCTCAAAAAAAAATCAAAAATAGAATTCCCTTATGATGTAGCAATTCCACTTCTGGGCATACAGTGAAAAGAATTAAAAGCAGGGACTCAAACTGATATTTGTATGTTTGGCTGTTTTATGTTTCTTTATGTTTTATATTGTTTTGTTTTATATATTTTATGTTTTTTGTGATATGTTCATAGCAGCATTACTCATAACAGCCAAAAATGGAAGCTACCCAAAATAAATGGATATATAAAATACGGTATACACATGCAAAGGGATTTTTTTTTTTTTTTTAAGACAGCATTCTGCTCTAGCACCCAGGCTAGAGTGTAAGTGGTGTGATCTCAGCTCATTACCTCCTGGGTTCAAGTGAGTTGCTTGCCTCAGCCTCCCAAGTAGCCAGGATTACAGGCATGCACCACCACTCCCGATTCTTTATTTAGTTATTTATTTATTTTTTTGAGACAGAGTCTTGCTGTGTCTCCCAGGCTGGAGTGCAATGGCGCAATTTTGGCTCACCACAACCTCCACCTCCCGGGTTCAAGTGATTCTCTGCCTCAGCCTCCTGAGTAGCTGGGACTACAGGCACATGCCACCACGCCCGGCTAATTTTTGTATTTTTAGTAGAGACAGAGTTTCTCCATGTTGGCCATGCTGATCTCGAACTTTTGGCCTCAAGTGATCCACCCACCTGGGCCTCCCAAAGTGCTGGGATTACAGGCGTGAACCACCGCACCCGGCCACAATGGGATATTGTTCAGCCTTAAAAGGGAAGGAAATTCAGACACATGTCCCGACATGGATGAACCTTGAGAACATTATGCTAAGTGAATAAGTCAGTCACAAAAGGGTAAATACTATCTGATTCCATTTATATGAGGTACCTAGAGTTGTCAGATTCATAAAAATAGAAAGTGGAGTGGTGATTTCCATGAGTTGGGGGAGGGAGGAATATGCAGTTATCATTTAATGGATACAGAGTTTCAGTTTTGCAGATAAAAGTTTTGGAGATGGATGGCAGTGATAGTTGCATAACATTGTGAATATACTTAATGCCACTGAACTGTACACTTTAAAATGGTTAAGGAGAAAAATTTTGTGATATGTATTTAACACAATAAAAATTGAAAAACAATTTAAACATCTATAATATTATAATGCTAAAGTCCCTTTCTCAATTGTTAGGTTTGCCAATCATAGAAGAGCTCAATTCCTGACTTTTCTCCTACTACTTCTATGGGTGAATGTATATGGAAGTAAACTAAGTAATTAAAAATGATGACCTCAAATAGGAGCCTATGTTAAAGTCCAGTACAGAAGCTAGTCCAGCAGACTGTCACAAAAGAAAATTTAAAAAAAGAGAGAGGGATGCTTTTATTGTCTTGTTTTTAAGTGGAGCATCTTAAGTACCATAAACTACAAAGATTTAGATCATGGTACATGTAAGTGAGCTGTATAGTATTCCATAGCATTAATATGCCAAAATGTTATCGTTTTCTTACTGCTGGGAATTTGAATTATTTCCAATTTTTTATTGTTCTTAATGGTGCTGCCAGTGAGCCTTCATGTATGTGTCTCTTTGAGGATGTGTATGAACATTTTGCTGGTGGATATGCCTAAAATAATTGCTGGGATTTTGGATTTGTACATATTCTGTTTTATTAGATATCACCAAGTTACTTTCCAAAGATGTTGCGCCAATTTATTCTTCCACCAGCAGAATATGACACTTTTTGCGGCTCTACATCCTTGTCAATACTTGGTATTGTCAGACTGTTTCATTTTTGCCAGTCTGATGGATGAACTTGTTTTTTATTGTTCTGATGTTCATTTCCTTAACTACTTGTGAGTTTGAACATTTTTTCAGAAGTTTATTAGTTATTGGTCTCCACATCTGTAAATTGCCTATGAATATGTTTTCCCAAATTGCTACTAGGGTGTTTATCTTTCTTATTTTAGTTGTAGGAGTCTTTCATATCATTTGGAAAAATAATCCTTTGTTAATAATGTGCATTAAAATTATCTTTCCCAGCATCCTGGTGGCTTATCATTTTACTTTGCTTACTTTTATACAGAAGATTTTCTTCCCTCCCCTCCCCTCCTCTCCCCTCTTTTCTTTTCTTTTTTTCCTTTTTTCTTTTCTTTTCTTTTTTTTTTTTTTTTGACAGAGTCTCACTCCATCACCCAAGCTGGAGTACAGTGGTGTGATCTCGGCTCACTGCAAACTCTACCTCCCAGGCTTAAGCAATTCTCCCACCTCAGCCTCCCAAGTAGCTGGGACTATAGACACGAGCTGGCACACCCGGCTAATTTGCATTTTTTGTGGAGACAGGTTTTCGTCATGTTGCCCAGGCTGGTCTCAAACTACGGGGCTCAAGCAGTCTACCTGCCTCGGCCTCCCAAAGTGCTGGAATTACAGGCGTGAGTCAGTGCACTCGGACTTTTTTTTTTTTTAAACAGGGTCTCACTTTGTTGCCCAGGCTGGAGTGCAGTATAGTGGCATGATCATAGCTCAATGCAGCCTCAACCTCCCCAGGCTCAGGTGATCCTCCTCCCTCAACCTCCCTAGTAGCTGGGATTACAGGTGTGCACCACCATGCCCAGCTAATTTTTTTTTGGCATTTTTTGTGGAGATGGGATTTCACCATGTTTCCCAGGCTGGTCTTGAACTCCTGGGCTCAAACAGTCTGCCCACCTCAGCCTCCCAAAGTGTTGGGATTACAGATGTGAGCCACTGCATCCGAGTGATTTTCATTTTTAATATTCAAATTTATCAATACTGTGCCTTATGGTTTGTATCCATTATCTTCATCAAATTGAATAAACAGAGCCATTTGTTATCACATTTATAGCTTTTTTTGGGCCTTAATGATAAAAGATTTGAATATCCTAGTTTAAGATTAATGCATCTTTGTTTATATTCCTTGGCCAAAATATTTGGTCCAAGCTTTTAGGTGACTCACTGTTCAAGTTATTACATAAGGGTTTTCAAAAAGTCATCTTACCATCTTTACTCTTTGGGTTATGACCTCTATTAAGGCACATACAGGAAAGTGTGGAATAAACCAGATATTTTTGCCTGATGTGCTTTATCATTACAGAGAGCCCCTTCTCCCATCCATCACCCTCCCTCCCTCCCTCTCCTATTTCTTCCTCTTCAACTCCACCAGTGAATTTATTAACCCGAGATATCATTCACATGTTAAGGGATCCATTAACACTGTTCAAAAAGTTAGCATAGGCTCTAAACAAATTCAGGTTTCAAACAGGCAACTACCAATATCTGGAAAGGTAATCAACTCCAGCTAAGTACCGTGGACAGCACATCAGGAAAAGCCCCACAGGCTCCAAGTGATAGAATTTGATAGGTTCGGGACATGCACAGCGGCCCATGCCTATAATCCCAGCACTTTGGAAGGCCGAGGCAGGTGGAACACCTGAGGTCAGGAGTTGGAGACCAGCATGGCCAACATGGTGAAAACCCATCTCTACTAAAAATAGAAAAATTAGCTGGGTGTGGTGGCATGCACCTATAATCCCAGCTACTTGGGAGGCTGAGGCAGGGGAATCGCTTGAACCTAGGAGGCAGAGGTTGCAGTGAGGCAGTGAGCCGAGATTGTGCCACTGCACTCCAGTCTTGGTGACAGGGTGAGACTCCGTCTCAAAAAAAAAAAAAAAAAAAAAAAAAAAAGATAGGTTCATACTGATACAAGAAAAAAAAAAGGCACACTATTAGGTTATTTCCAAAGATTTAAAAATGATCTTCTAAAATTTAGGGGGAATGCTATGAAATAACAAAAAGCCATTTACAAACGCAATTTTAGAAGTGAAAAAACTGGGGCACGTGGCTCAAGCCTGAACCAGCACTTTGGGAGGCCGAGACGGCGGATCACAGTCAGAGATCGAACCATCCGGCTAACACGTGAAACCCGCCTACTTAAAAATACAAAAAAAAAAAAACTAGCGGCGGGGGGCGCCTTAGTCCCAGCACTCGGAGGTGAGGGGAGAATGGCGGAACCGGGAGCGGAGCTGCAGTGACTGAGATCCGGCCATTGCACTCCAGCCTGGGCGGCAGAGCGAGACTCCGTCTCAAAAAAAAAAAAAAAAAAAAAAAAAAGAAGTGAAAAAACTTTCACAAAGGACTGGAAAACTATAGCTGAATCTGTGTATTTATGAAAGGGAATGTCACAGGTCATTTGCTTAAATAATTCTTGGCGTATGAGAGTTAAAGATGTATGTTTTGACCTTGCCATTTCCATCATAAGGAGGTTTTGGCCCTGGCATGCGGCCTAAGCACAGGCTTCCTGTCTTCCCCTCTCTGCCTCTTGCTGTGGCTTTCCCTCTTCCAAGACTCCCCCATCTCTTTCCCTGTCTCTCCTCTGAGCCTCCTCTTCCCACTGCACCTTGTCTCAATCTGTTCTCTCTCCATTCCCTTCTCTGTCCTCCTCTACTCCCCAAAATTGGTCGAGGATTTTTTTGTTCAATAGAAATAATGAGCACAAAAGAAAACTCACAGTGGCAAGAACTATAATTGGTAAAGTATGATATAGACCTAAAACAATAGATGAATCAAATTTCTGTTATTAAATATAAATAAAAAGAATTGCTCCTGTTGAAATAATCTTAGAAGATTAAAAGGAAAATGGAAAAACAAAATTAGACTGGGTGCAGTGGCTCATGCCTGTAATCCCAGCAGTTAGGGAGGCCTAGGTGGAAGGATTGCTTGAGGCCAGGAGTTCGACACCAGCCTGGGCAACATAGCAAGATGCTCCTCTTTACAAAATATTTTTTAAAATGAGTGGGTCCGGTGGTACAAACCTGTAGTCCCAGCTACTCAGGAGGGTGAGGCAGGAGAATTGCTTGAACATGGGAGGCGGAGGTTGCAGTGAACCAAGATTCTGCCACTGTACTCCAGCCTGGGCGACAAAGCAAGACCCTGTCTTTAAACAAACAACAAACAAACAAAATTAGAAACAGATTGACTGCACTGTTTAGAAAACGAAGGTATTATATTGGCTTAGCTTCATTCCAGAATATACTTTTTTTTTTTGATAACTCATAAATGCTGGCATAATTCTTATGAAAACATTTTTATTCAGACAACCTCTGGGCTCATAATAATGGAGTCACAATATCCTTTATATGAAAATGGGGTGGTCACTGAGAGCAATAAATAAGAGTAATAAATGTGTTTATCTGAAAGGATTGCAAAATAACCAACTTTGTCTTATTCTTATTCCACTCCGGATGAAGGATCTGGAAGCAGCCTATCACATTACAGATATCCATGAAGCTTTGGCATTATCTGAAGTGGGAAATGACAGGAAGATGTTCTTGTTTGGAACCCACGTGACTAAGAATGGCTCAGAGATACCATCCACCATGCAAGATGCCAAAGACTTGATTGCACAGCTGGCTGCAGATGTGCAGTGACCAGGACTCAGCCCACTGTGCGGCTCACGACTGAAATGTCATCAGTGTTGAATGGCAGGCTTGAAGCCAAAGGTTTCCACTTTCAAATAAAAATTAAGCCATTTCCTATTTTCTCAATGCATGGGATGTATATAGTCAGCCCTCCATATCCATGGGTTCCACATCTGCGGATTAAAGAACTGTGGATCAAAAACATTCAAAAAGTAAACCCACTAAAGAATAATAACACAACAATAAAAATAATACATATATAATTTTTTTTTTTTTTTTTTTTTTGAGACGGAGTCTCGCTGTGTCGCCCAGGCTGGAGTGCAGTGGCCGGATCTCAGCTCACTACAAGCTCCGCCTCCCGGGTTGATGCCATTCTCCTGCCTCAGCCTCCCGAGTAGCTGGGACTACAGGCTCCTACCACCTTGCCCGGGTATTTTTTTGTATTTTTTAGTAGAGACTGGGTTTCACCGTGTTAGCCAGGATGGTCTCGATCTCCTGACCTCGTGATCCACCCGTCTTGGCCTCCCAAAGTGCTGGGATTACAGGCTTGAGCCACCGCGCCTGGCCTAATAATACACATTTTAAAACACAATATAACAACTATTTACATAGCATTTACATTGTATTAGGTATTATAAGTAATCTAAAGATGATTTAAAGTACACGAGTAGATGCGTGTATGTTATATGTAAATACTATGCCATTTTCTATCAGGAGCTTGAGCATACACATTTGCCTGTGCGGAGCTTGGAATGAATATCCCTGAGATTACCAATGGACAGCTGCACACAGATAGTGTTGACATATTAACAGCATCTCTATTGGATTTTGAATGTTAAAAATATTTGTAAAACAGCGTATTGGGGGGATTGCGATTTTTAATCAACAAAGGTAAAATGAATATTAGCAAGCATTTGTCCCATTTATTGTATTGCAATGGCATGAAATTTATATGAAATTTTTTTTGGGTGGGTGGATAGGGTCTCACTCTGTTGCCCAGGCTGGAGTGTAGTGGCGTGATCTCAGCTCAGATGATCCTCCCTCGTCAGTCTCCCAAGTAGCTGGGACTAGAGGTGCATGCCACCACGCCTGGCTAATTTTTCTATTTTTAGCAGAGACGAGGTTTCACCATGTGGCCCAGGCTGGTCTTGAATTCCTGAGCTCAAGCGATGTGCCCGCCTTGGTCTCCTAAAGTGCTGGGATTACAGGAATGAGCCACTGCACCTCGCCTTGAATATATTTTAGTATGTTTTCTCTTTTCAAGTAAAAAACCAGGTGTCTTTCCGTTAAGTTGATCTGTTTTTAACACTATAGGAAAGAAATATCGGGACAGGACAATGAGGAACGTGAACTTTGTCAAACCCCTAGAGAAATAAACATTAACAGTATTCAGAAAGAGTTAGGAAGGGTTTCTTTTCCAGGAGCTTGTTAGACTAGATGAGGAACATTGTGGGGATTTGTTTTTAAAATTCTTAACATTTTGCTTTTACATAGATAAACTTTCTTCACTAGAAAGAGTGATAACTATATTTATTTGCAGACACTCTGTAAATCCAACTTGTAACTATAGTGGCTTACTTTGGTTTTAAAGCAAATTGGCGAGAGAGTTTGCTCTATAAATCCTTCCTTTTAAAATTTGGAATCTGTGGTGAAATAATGCAAATATGGGATCAGGTATGGTGGCTCACACCTGTAATCCCAGCACTTTGGGAGGCCGAGGCGGGCAGATCATGAGGTCAGGAGTTCAAGAGCAGCCTGGCCAACATGGTGAAACCCTGTCTCTACTAAAAATACAAAAAATTAGCCAGGGGTGGTGGTAGGCACCTGTAATCTCAACTACTCAGGAGGCTGAGGCAGGAGAATCGCTTGAACCCAGGAGGCAGAGGTTGCAGTGAGCCAAGACCACACCACTGCACTCCAGCCTGGGCAACAGAGAGAGACTCCGTCTCAAGACAAATAAATAAAATAAAATTTGGAATCTATGGTGAAATAATACAAATATGGGGTCAGGCGTGGTGGCTCACACCTGTAATTCCAATACTTTGGGAGTCTGAGGCAGGAGGATCATTTGAACCTAGGAGTTTGAGACCAGCCTGGGAAACATAGTGAGACCCTGTCTCAAAAAAAAAAAAATCCAAATTTGGTGAAGACAACCCCTCTCAATATTAGCACATAACTGTCTCTAGTTTTAGGTTAAAATAGAACACAATTTAATTTATGCATGTATGCGCAAAATGATGATTGCCTTCTGAGAGATGAGACATCGGAGAGTGAGCCTTTAACATCATTACCTTTCTCACATCACCGCTGTGCTGTCATGTTTAATGGTGTCTTATTACAGCAGCCACTCAGGTGTCTAATGTTAAACCTTCTTCTTGTCTGGCCTACGGAGGGTGGATCACACAATGATTCGGAATTGTCAGAAATGTTGGATTTTAACCTCTGCCCCAAGGATTACCGTGAATGGACCCCTGGACAAATTCCTTGACTGTCTTGGTCTTGTCCTTGTAAAAAGATCAAGTGAGATGCAGACCACTTCTAGCCCTAAACTCTGATTCTATGTGTTTGTCCCTTCCCTAGGTTTTCTAAGGTGATCAGGGACGTAGACAAGTTTCTGGATGCTTATTTCAAAGAAAAGGCCAAAAGCTTTCAGGATGGGGAACAATATCTCTGTTTTTCCCTCTTTGGTCTTTTTATTCTCAGATTCTGATTTTAGATTCTACATTTTGGCAACAAGTATTGTGGCTGGAGTTTTTCTTTCAGTGGACAGTTATGGAGTGCCAACATGGCAGTCATTGCTTGACACCAGGGTGAACAAAGCAGGGATTCTGCACTTGAGATGCTCTCAGGCAGGGACTCTGTACTTGAGATGCTCTCAGGCTAACGATGAGGGTTTGTGTCATGGGGCTTTCTAACAGAAATGGCACTAGACAACAAGACAGATTGGTGTATTGTCAGAGAGGCTGCCTGGCTGGTAGCCTGCACAATGGGCCTAATAGGGTGGCATACAACCTTGGAGAATTTACCACAATCTGGCGTCTGTTGCCAGCCGTCCAGGCTTGAGAAGCTGAGTCATGTTAGAAAGTAGGTTTACTTAGCACATCAAGAGTGGATCTGCCTTTTCATTCAGTAAACATTTTGGGAGCACCATGTGCCAGAACTCTTTCAGTTAAAAATAAATTCAGTTAAAAGGAAATTCAGGCTGGGTGCAGTGAATCACGCCTGTAATCCCAGCACTCTGGGAGACCAAAGTAGCCAGATCACTTGAGCCCAGGAGTTTGAGACCAGCCTGGGCAACTTGGTAAAACCCCATCTCTTCAAAAAATACACACCAGAAACAAACAAAAAACTAGCCAGATGTGATGGCACATGCCTGTAGTCCCAGCTACTCGGGAGGCTAAGATGGGAGGATCACTTGAGCCTGGGGAAGTCAAGGCTGCAGTGAGCAGTGATTGCACCACTGCACTTCAGCTTGGATGATGGAGTGAGACCTTGTTAAAAAAAAAAAATGGCTGGGCACAGTGGCTCAGGCCCGTAATCCCAGCACTTTGGAAGGCAGAAGCAGGAGGACTGCTGGAGGCCAGGAGTTAGAGAGCAACCTGGGCAACATAGAAAGACGCTGTCTCTACAAAAAAATTTTTAAATAAAATTCAACTCGAATTTGTGCGTGCCCCCACAAAAAAGAATTTTTTTTTCCTCCTCATCCTGGAAAATCTGGGCATGGGTGGATTCAGGAGTTCAGAAGTTCAAAGATAAAACTGTCTCTCCGTATCCTGGCCCTGCCAACTTCTGCTTGGTTTGATTCTCAGATTCCCTCCTTAGAGTAGCAAGATGACTGCTGTCAACACAAGCCATTCTTATAGCTCATGATCTCAGAGTAAGATGGACCCTCCCTTTCTCAGCAGACTTCCATTAAATCTCATGGAGGGATACCAATTGGCTCTTCTGGGGTTGCATATTCATCCCTGAATCAATTACTGTGGCTGGATTGGTCAGACCTGGGTTAGAAGGAAGGATCAGCCCCTTAAACTATATTGAATGAGTTCCTTGCAGAAAGGAGGGGTTCTGCCTTCCGAAGAAGAGGGAAGGGATTCTAGGCAGGAAAACAAAATGATGACAGCTATTCACAGTCGTTCACTGTGCTTGGCACAGGGAATATACCAGTGACCAGGACAGAGAATGCCACTGTCTTTAAGGAGGTTACATTCTAACTGGGGAAGTACACAAAAATAAAAAAGCAGATGAAATAATTATAAATTATGTTGAAGCAAGGAACTGAAATAGAAAATAATGGTGGGAACATTTTTAAAATTAATATGGGCTAGAAAGACCTCTTTGAATGGGTAATTTAAACTGAGCCCTAGAGGCTAGAAAAAAGCCAGTATGTAAAGAGTGGGAAGAAATGGGCTCCAGGCAGTGGGAACAGGTGTGAGAAGAGACTGAAATGGGGAAGAGCTTGACACTTTAGAGAAGAGCAGGGAGGCCGGAATGTAGTGGAGTGGCTCAAAGTAGACTAGAGAGAGAAAAAAGGACCAGAGTATGGAACACCTTATAATGCAAAGCTTGAGGATTTTAAAAAATGGTTTGGAGTGTCACGATTGGAGGTGATCAAAAGTAAAAGTCAGAAGTTCCACCAGTTCAGAGATCACTGTAGAATCCAGAGAGATGATGATAGGCCTGGGTGGCCTGCCATGACATGGTGGGAGTGGGTTGTTATAAAGTGAGTCCAGCCCCTGGTGCCTCTGTGTCTTTCATGTTCATTTGCCCTTCCACCATGTTATGATGCATCAAGAAAGCCTCACCAGATGCCAGAACCATGCACTTGGATGCTCCAGTCTCCAGAACTAAGAGAAATAAGTTCTTTATAAATGACCCAGTCTCAGGTATTCTATTATAGCAACATGAAATGAACAGACTTGGAAAAGAATTCATTCTGTGTGATCATTACTAATCTTTCCCAATAAGCAGACTCCTTGAGAAGCGAGTCATGTCAGAAAGCTGCCTGTGCCGGGTGCAGTGGCTCATGCCTGTAATCCCAGCACTCTGGGAGGCCAAGGTGGGTGGATCGCTTGAGCTCAGGAGTTTGAGACCATCCTGGGCAACATAGCAAAACCCTGTCTCTACAA